CTTAAAAAACGACTTTAAACTATTTTCGACCTAACTCAAAAATTAAAAACAAAATTATATCAAGAGGAGTTTGGCCCGGTGTTTTCTGTATTGAACTTGGTTGAATGAGTAGTATAAACTATTGCTGTTCGTATTCGATTTTACGAATTGTTCTAAGAATCCAATTAAACGGATAGGAAACAAAATCTCCGAAGCTGATAAAAAAATCTGATTTTTTATGAATTCTATACCTTCAAATATCTGAATTTGCATTTGTTATTCGTATTGCAGCTATTCGAAAATTTCGAGATGGAATTTGGCAGTTTTTCGAACCACAAAATTAAAATATAATTTTTTTTTGCAGTTAAAGTTTATCTGACTAACATTTTCAATCATAATTTATTTGGAAAGTGAACTTTTGTTGTATTTTTTGTTATTTTATGTGAAGTATTTTGTATATGGAAATGATTTGCGCTTTTATTCTCTATTCATACTTTTCGGGGCCCCTTTTTTTACTGACCTAACCAAGCTGTCATCGTACATAATTAGAAAGTTAGCCAAGTTCATAGAATTGTCAGATTTGTTCACTTTTACCTAATGGGGGAGTCATTGCCGTTCGGCGTTGGTCTTTTTACTAACCATTCAGTCTTCGCTATTCCTGTGGTACCACAACGGTTCATTATTTGAGTTCAAGTGGGGTTTCTTGGACACAAGATCGCCACTTCAACCTATTTAATCCAATCTGATCTAAGCTATATGTTACATACCAGTAGTATTTTTGTTAAAAGCGATGCCGATCTTGATTGTAAGATAGTTTATTGTTATAAAATCAAATGCTGAAGAATGATCAATAATAAAACCGACTCTATTAAAAGCAACATCTGCAAAATTTATCTCTTACAATCCCACACATAATGGACTAATTGTTTACACATAAAAACTAATTATCAATTTCTTATGGCAATTGAGTGCGGAATGTCCATGTTGTACTTGCCTCCATCCAAACTATGAAAAACCTGATTAAAATTCATAATTCGATGCGATAATTAATAAAGTTTATGTAAAATGAAAATCAGTAACCAAAAGAGCAACAACAAGCTAAAGCGTTGGCCCCATTTATAGGCCAACTATAAAAATTGCATAAGCAATAAAGAAAACAACCGAAACAACTTAAAATTCAAGCAATACATATAATTGCAATGATAACAACAATTCATGAAAAGTCTATTAAGTAATGTATAACAAAAACAAAAAAAAAACTTAAAAAATAATACATAATAACAGCAACAAATCAAGACATTTATCAATTTTATTGGTATCATTTCTGTTTAGGCCACAACTTGAGTTTATGCTCAGCGAATAATATTCACAAATCTGTAAATTGAAGCGGTTGCACTGAAGTTAGCCAACTCTCATTGCACATTTGTGTATATGGTTGAGTGTTGCATATGTATGTGGTATGTGTGTGTTTGCAACTGTGCAGACAACTTGTATGTTGCCGCAACATAAAGCCAACAACACAACAACAACGCACATGTTTCTACACATTTTCTGACTTTTTAATGTTGTTTTGTTTTTTTTTTTGTGTGTTTCATGTGAATGTTAGCGGGGAGTAATGATTGCAATTATGCCATTGCTTGCTTATATTATAACCCTTACAGTCAGCCGGCGGCAGCGCTAACTCAATAAGTGGTCTATCTTCGACACAGCCAATCACACGCACACATACATACACACGGTACACATGCGGTAATGGTAATTTCAAATTTTACACGTTAAAGAAAAAGTTAAGCAAAGCAGCATTGCCACTCTTTTTCATATGAAAATTATAATTTGGCTTACGAATTTCCACAGGGCGTTGCATGGGTTCGCATCGAAACTATTTTAATACGCGAACACGTTTATTAACTTCAATTACAAATTTTTGAAATTTACAAACTTTTTAACTATAATTGTTTTTTTTTTTTTCTTTCAATTTTATTTTGGTATTTATCTTATAATTAGCATAATAGTTTCTACTTTTGGTTATTCATTGATTTATTACCTTTAATTAAATACTTTGAAATGTAAATAGTTTATTTGCTTCTCCTATTTGTATTGCATGCACAAAACTTACAATATTTACTTTCACTTTTACTCAAAAATTGAATTTACATTTACATATTAGTAATTATCAATATGTATGCATAAACATAAATATAAGTTAACATTGAAAATTGTGTTTAAGACACTTCAAGTTCGATTTTTCTTTAAAATATATCTTTATTAATATGTGCTACGTGATGCCAGTAAAGCATTTACCAGTCTGTTTTCATCACAATGCAATTGAGTCCAATCAATTTTTGGATCCGTCCCATTAAAGAGTTCAGGTTTCTTCGCTTTGATTCAGGTTGACTTCAATTAAAAACTCATCAACGCCCAAATTGACTTGACTTCAATCGATTTTTTGATCTGCCCTTGAATTCAATAAGTTTGGCCTAAGATCATCTCATTTAAAACCCCATCCATCCCTAATCCATTCTTACTCCTATATAATCGCCTGACTCCCGCACTGTCATTGCCTATTCATCAATTCGATGAAATAAATTGGATACACTATGACAGGCCAACGACTACATGGCCAATTTACTCCAAATGTAGAACCTTTGACTTTGTACACAGAAGCAAACTAGAAGTATATAGGTTAATATTTGTTTTAACAGGGCACTGGTCTATAAGATAGCGTGGGTTAAGTTCGGCCTACCCTGTAGTATCTCCTGATGTGCATGGCTACTGCCGTTTAAGGAAAAGACACCAGAACACATACTGTGTCTATGTATGGGCTTGTCCAGAACTAGGATTAAGTTTTTGGGTGCCCCCTTTCTTAACAGTTTTGGCAATATTTCCAGCATTACCATTGGCCAGACATTCCCAAACAATACATGACATGACAATATTAATTTTGTTCTATCCATTATAACGAGGAATTATGGAATCAAGTTCTTTTTTTATCTATAAGAAAGATTGACTTCACTTAAGCTAACCTATATCCATCCAATTGTTTTACACAAGTATATCAAAACTGAACATGCTTACATGTAACACACTATCGTGTGTTACAGTATAACATACTTCTAGTATAACGGATAACCAATGGGCAATTTAACGATCGATAAAATTATATCACTAAAATATTTGTTATATAGAATTGTCAAAGCATTATTTAACGAATAATGCTGAAAAAATTATCGAAAAGAATAGAAAGACAGCTTTGTTTAAAAATATTTTACTGTCGACTCTTTCACTTACCATGTCAGAACCAATGTGGACCATGTTAGTTGGCATTGTCTACTCTATTTAGAATATAATCGTTAGAGTGTATGA